GAAGGGGGGGGGGGGGGGGAAATCAGGATATTAGGGTTCGACTTTTGGAACTCCAATTTAGTCCCAATTGCCTATAATTATTATGCCTCTGACAAGCCAACGTTGGTTCCTTTTTCTTTACTACAAAATGAGCATAAATAAATTTACTATGCTGTGGGGTTGGAGTGCGTACTGGCTTTAACTAATGCTGACAAAGCACCCCAAGGTCTTTAGATGAAATCAGATTATAAACAAGTGCGGAAGTTACATATTCAGAGCAGTCAACATTGAGAGAGTAATTCTACCATGCATATATAATGGTTTAAATAAGATTATATAATTATACACTGGCACAAAGACCTGATGTTACCAGAAGAATTAGGTGTGTTCTTGTTTCAGACCGTGACTTATCAGAGCCAGGTAGTAAAGTTACTTCAAAAGCACTGGAACCACCCAAAAGAATTACTTTCAGAAGTAAAAAAAAACCCCCAGAATTCCAGTAAGTCTTAGAAATACTAGAGCTGTATAAGTAACCGTGTACATTAAAATGCTTAATTAGCATTAAAAATAAGACATTGCTCAAGTTATGTATTCCACTTATGTTTACAAATGTCCTTGAGCTGGGTTATTTTCATGTTAGTTCAACAGATTGCAGTCTGGACAAGAGAAGCATACTGTAGGCATGCTGATCTTCTCATAAGGTAAGAGGACTATTCCACATAAGCATGTGTCTGTTACCTTGGCTGGCACAGTTTCAGGCTTAGTTCCCTAGACAGCAGGCTGCTAACCTTAAGGATTATAGCTAGGCCAGAACACTGCAAATAGGAAAAGAATTCTGCTCTCAACTAGAAAGAAAAGCAAAGTAGTATTTGACTATCAACCAAGAATCATGTCAAGACAAGCAAAAACTGAGTTGAAATACTGAACCCAGGAGGAAAAAAAAATCAAGTTCAATTTTGTAACTTGGCATTTAGTTATAAGATGTGACCATGCTGGTGAACACTACAGCAGTTTCCTTCACTTTGATTACCTTCAGCTTGTTAAAATCTCCCTTCATCACATTAATTCTTCTTACCCATTTAGGCATAAGTATCTGAACTTTTCCTCAAAATTACAGTACTTACACTCTAGTTAGGACTGAAAGTATTTCTATTCCAACCTTGCTTTCACTTTAAAATTTTCTGAAACTGTCACCTTGTAGATCAAAATTTTCCAAGTTCTCTGTGCTCAAAAGGTGATATTTAGAAACAGTTTATTTTTTGTTCAGACTCTTAAATAACACTCCCTCTTCCTACCCAACCCACCCCTACCACCCTTTCTCTCTCACCTTCACCAGGTTAAAAATAAAACTAATGATTTCTTTATTGAACACCTGAGGGCAGGAAGTTGATACTGTCACGTAAAAAGCAAGAAGTGCCTTTGGACAGTTTAAAGTCTGGTTCTGAGTCTGAAAAAGGTTGCAATTCAAATATGCACCATGCAATTGTTATGTTTCTCTTAATGTTCAAAGCAAGATCTAGTTTCCTCTCCTTAGGGTAGTAAAGGCAGTTACGTTTGTTCTTCATCTATACTTCTTTCAGTACTCAGTCACTTCATTATAAGTTTAAGCCAGGGGCAGGCAATTATTTTGGGTGGAGGGCCACTTACTGAGTTTTGGCAAGCCATCAAGGGCTGCATGACAGGCAGCCAGGGCCACATAAATATTAATTTTCTAAATTTTCTAGTGGCCCAGTGGGCCAGATAGAATGGCCTGGCAGGCCGCATCCAACCCCCAGGCCGCATTTTGCCCACCCCTGATTTAGACCCTTGAAGCACCTGGAAGTGAAGAAAGCCAACAATAACATGCAACCAGCCTCTTAGCAAGCTGCAAATAAGTGCATCATGGACCAGTTAAGGAATCCCTATGACAGGGATTATGGTGAAAAGAGGCAGAGAATGGTCAGGTAACTATCTGATACTAGACTAAGCTATAGACTGCATTACTGTAGATGCTGCCTTCCAAATAGTAAGCCCAAGTCTCTTACCCGGACCACCTGCCGTGTGCTTGTGATGAAAGCTTTCCTTATACCCAGCTCTGTTGCATCAAGGTTGAATTTCCGAGGATTTGCTTCAACAATGCGTTAATGACAAGTCAAGGAAACACTACTGAACCAGTAGTCAGCAATCAGGCAGATATCCTGGCCACCTGAAAGGTACTACCCAAGTGCTATAATTAACAAAGTTAACTGGACCAAGATTTGGTTAGTTAAGCAAATCAGATGCATGCTTTTCCTAACAGTCCTTGCATCCTGCCATTTGTGTACCAATATAAAGAGCCCACTGGAACTTTTTGGCTTGCCCAATTGGCACAGCGTAGCACTTTAAGAAATTGTTGATTTTAATCCTTTTTCAGCTCTTTTCTGGAGCTCAGTGTAACAGAGGACTGACTGCCTCCAGTTAAAATTCATCCCACAGAAGGAGCCTTTCAGAACAGGGCATCTCATTTTTAACTATATGTTACTGACAAAGAGGGAGAGAGGAGATGTAAAAAAAAGTTACTTAAAGGAAAAGCTGGCATGTCACTGACTCCACTGTCTAAACCAGTGGTTCTTAACCTTTTTTGTACTAGGACCTGTTTGTAAACACTGATGGCCAGTCCCAACCCAGTGCCCCTCAATCCTGACCAAATGTCCTGTCTTCCCAGCCCCCAGCATGTGGGGGCAGGGGAGGGCCCACACAGCCCCTCACAGGCTGGAACTCCGCCAGCTTGCAAGGGAAAAGCCGCCATTTTCCAAGTTGTTCTCCTTTAAAGGATAATCCATTTTTAAAGTCTGTTGATCCATTTTTGTTTGAAACCCTTTCATATTCTTGCAACCCACTTTTGGGTCACAATCCATGGATTGAGAAATTCTGGTCTAAACCATACAATGATATCTTATGAAAACAGTAGCTTCTGAAAGAATTGTATAGCATACAACGCATATTTTCCAAGAAACGGAATTACTCTTTAGAAGCCATCCTCATCCTTCAGGTAGAAATGACACAAGGCCACATCTAAACTGTAACAGGTCCATATAAAGGATATTAATAGTTTCATCCAAGTCTTCTAGGTCCCATTCAATGCTCCGCAGGTTGTTCCTGAGCTCATTAGTTGTCCAGTCAATTTCTTCTCTTGTGGCTATAGAAGGGTCTTGCAGGAGCTCCGTCCATCTCTGGAACAACCCCTGAGCAGTATTCACTGCTTTTTGGACCTCCCTGAAATCAAGATGATTAACAAAAATACTAATGACTTGACTACACAGAAAAACACTGTAGTACAGCTCTAACAGAATCATTCCACTACTGCTGTAACAGACTGATTCTCCATGTAGACAAGCCATGAGGCAGCAAGTGTTTTTCACCATTTTAGATTTAAAGTTATTTGTATTAATGGCATCTTCCTTTCAACCTGCTTGATTTTCTCTTTAAACTAATCACATAAGCAGAGATAAGTTGGGTTGGAAGGGACATCAAGGGTCTAGTTCAACCCCTTGCTCAAGGCAGGATTCCCTCCAAACACTGCTTACTAGATAATCAGTATCTTGTCTTGTCTTCTACCCCAATAGAAAGCGTGACAGAATTTTGTAACAGAAAGGCAGTGACAGTTATGGAAAGGATCCACCTCTTCCACCTACTGCTGCTATTAAAAGAGAAGTTTAACATTTCCCAGACAGTTGCATTGCTTTTTCAGTACTCTTCTGTGGATGGAGGAACCCACACTACTCTATAACAAACAGACATTTTGCATTTCTATAGCATCTTTCATTCCAGAACCAACAAGGACTCGGGCAATATTGGCATGTTTCATACCGTAACTTCCTATGCACGTTCTCCACTACAACGATGTTTTGCTACTTCCTGATCATGGACCATAAGAATTGCAGGAACTGCCCCTACAGAATTTCTGCATGGACCAACTGTGTTCAGTTTGGGTCTGCTTATTTAATTGTTCTTTTTTTTTTTTTTGTAATTTACAATACTTATTTAGCTACGTTTGCTTAATAAACTCAACTGCTTTACTGCTCCACCAAGTGTCATAGAAAAGTGCTTTCAAATGTTAGCATGGGAATGCATGCTGCTGAAAGCACTGAACATTACAGTTATTCTCTGGGATTAGAGTGCAAATAGCAAATATCTACCCATAAACATATGATTAGCTGCATAAGTAAATACTGCTGTCTTATTCCCAGGGAATATTCTTTCAAATGAATGGAAAATTGGGATGTGACATTTATACACAAGAGGCATGTTAGCAAGCTTTTCAGGTCTTATGATCAGGTGTAAAAAGGTTGCCCCACGTTTAAGGGTTGCACATAACATGCAGATATGTTTAAAGATGTGGGGACTTCTTTGACAGGTAGTGGTTGGACTTCACTAATAAAAGCTTAGAGTTGAGCAGCTGTGTCCTCAGCTTGTGGCCACAAAGGGGATGAATGTGGGCCAGTTAGAAGGACTGTGTCCCACTTTGGGGTACCCCAGCCCTCAGTTTTCTGTCAAGGGCAGGTCTCTCATTTCCTCTGTTACGTTGTTTTTCCTTCCTCCTCTTTGTTGGTGCTTCTCACGCTACACGAAAGCAGAAAATACAACGAGGTTGTTCTTAGGATCCTAGGAAATTAAGAGCTGGAGGGACCTCACCAGGCTATCCAGCCCTGCCCCTGCTCACGGCAGGCCGACTCCTGGCCAGCCCTTTCCAGGCAGCACTGGAGGACAGGAACTCGCTGCCTGGGCCCGCTCTGTCCCTCCAGCCCCCTTAGGGACACCCATGGAGGCGGCTGCAGCCCGGCTCGGGGAACGCGGCTGCAGCCCGGCTCGGGGAACGCGGCCGGGTGGGAGCTGCTCCAGCCGCCGCCAGAGCCGGCAACCTGTTCACAGCCGCCCGGCCCCTCCTGCGGGCTCCCCCACCCAACAGCCCGCGGGGCGCTGGAACCTCGCCCGCCGCCCCCGCACAGGCAGCCCAGAGCCGGGAGCGCCTGCGCCGCCCCCGCAGGGGACTCCAGCCCCGGCCGCACTCACCCCTTCACCACGAAGAACGGGTCCTCCATGGACATGGCGGC